GCGAAACAGCAAGAAGCGTGAAGGAGGCTCGGTCGGAAGCATCAGGAGCGAAATAGACCGAAATGAACAGTAGCTTCGGGTTCGGGCTTGTGTGAGGTTCGGGCTCGAGAGCAGCCTTCGGGTTTGGTCCAAGAGGGTTCGATTCTGACTAGTTCGCTTCTGACCTTCGCTTATAATAGGTTCGCTTCTCATGCTTTCGCTTCTGATAGGTTTTCTTCTCATGCTTTCGCTTCTGATGCCTTCGCTTCTGATGAGTTCAGTTCCTAAGAGGGGTTTCGGGTCCTTAAGAGGGTTCGGCTCCTTGAGAGGGGTTTCAGGTCCTTAAGCCTATTTTACTCGTTTTTACCCCATTTTAAGCCATTTTTGACCCATTTAAGGGTCGGGATGGCCTGAAAGACTATAAAAAGTTTAAGGAACTTTTGAGAGAGATTTGGGAGAGATATCACATTCTTCGAGAGATTTCTCATATAAAGAGAGATTTGGGAGAGATTTCACATACTTAGAGGGGTTTCTCATACAAAGAGAGACTTGGGAGATATTTCACATTCTTGGAGAGATTTCTCATACAAAGATAGACTTGGGAGAGATTTGACATGCTTGGAGAGATTTGGGAGAGATTCTAGATAAAGAGAGATAGAGTGAAAACGATTGAGAGAGGTTTCATGTGTGACATTTGTGAGTGTCCAGCTTCGAAATGCAAGGTCCGTAAACCATGTTAAGCCTTGTTTAAGGATCTTACACACTCCCGATGAGTATGCAACATTGTTTTATCGGTTTGGCTCGCCACACACCACAATTTTAGGTTAAGGAGATTTAGATGTATGCACTTTTCGATTTATGATCTCTCATTAGAATAGTGAGTTGTTTAGAAATTACATAACGTAAACTCTAGTACCCACGGGCAAATTGAGTCGAACGGTTTGACTTGTTGACTTCAGTCGACTTTAACTTGACCGGAAATTGACGGTTGTCACACCAAGGTAATCTACAACCAACTATAATATGATCTTATGGATTCAAAGGAAAATCACTCAATCTCTGATACTAATTGAAGGTATAATGATCTGCAAAGACAAGGTTTGATTATACAAACCTTGAGTTAGCTTAAGATTAATGTATGTTGTAATAAAGATTAATCAAATATGGTAAACTAGTCTTGTCATGCAATAATCCTATCATGCAATAATCAATAATGTGTTCATGAAGTATGAATAATGTAAAAAGTAATTTTAGAAACAAGAAGAATGTAAGACTAATGATTAAGAGAATGGTACCAGATTTTAGAGAGAAAGGTGCATGTTCCACATTCTATTTTACTGTTTCTCCTTTTAATCCCACATAATCATACACTTGATACAAGGTAAGCTACTTCTTAAATAAACATGAAGTAGCTAAATGACAAAATAGACAAAGTGTGCACACATGACTGACATATTGGTAATGGTTTAGCTTTGTCAGACACTATTCTAGAAAGCAACAAGTATAAGACAAAATAGTACTTGGGAGAAAACAAACGTGCATTATAGGCATCATATTTCTAAACAAATATCATATCTCAGAATGGATCTTTACTTCGGAATAAGAACCATCTTGGAATGATCACAACTTTGGAAGTCTTGGTCTCAGACATTCTTTGACTTTGTATTTCTTAAGAAACACTTTTCTTGTTCCAACACCAAGTATAAGATATGAAGACTTGCAGTGGGAGAACTTAGAGGGAGATGATGCTGACGTAGATGGAAATGGAAAAGGAAAAAGATGGATTAGTTTCAAGTTTTTTAGGTGTTAATGTTCCTGTTTTTTGTTTTGTTTTTTTTTTTTAAACTGTTACTGTTTTTTAGTTCCTGGTATTTAGTTTCAATTTCTATGTTTTGAATTTTGAAGTGTTAGTTGTTGAAATATTACATCTTATTTGAAGTGTTTATGTTATAATCTAAGTTAAATGTTCTTGGTATTATGTTCTAAACATGGTACACTATGTTGGATACTATGGTACACTGTACGGGATGCTATGATACACTGTATTGGGATGTATCGGGCGTACCAAAATGAACCTATACGTCTAAGCTAGAAACCATGTTCCCGATCCATGAACTCGTACCGGATCGTACCGCGATCAATTTGACTATGTTATTACCATTACAAGATACAATTACACCATTTCAGGTATTGTATTACTATTTCATGTATTGTATTACCCTTACCATCTTGATAACAACAATAGTTACATAAGAAAATATTTCATACATTATAATATGGTGTAATATAGACATAAGCCAATTCATGACAAAAGAACATCCAAAAAAACCTCAGCACCATACAAGCATCATAATTCCTTACCATAACCACTAAATATTACTTAACCATAATCCCTAATTCCACATCAAGAAAACAAGAAAAAAAAATCCAACTGCACCCCACAGGTAAAACCATAAACTATGAACTTCATCTTCTAAATCTTTCACTGCCATCTTCAGGTAAAACCTCAAATTCTGAATTTTATCTTTTAAATCTTTCATTGAAAGCTTCAAATTGTTCACGCTCTTTTGTAGATTGGGAATGATAACCTTGGCATGATCACTCATTGGTGGATCAAACCATTTAAGGAATCGAAATTTTGTGTCTTCTCAACAATGAAGAACACAAAATTAGGGCAAGAATAAGGTGTTTGATTACAACAATTATAAGACTACTTTACCGGTAGAGGGTAGGAGTAGAAGCGTCGACTTGGAGTCCACGAGGTGTGCAATACAGAGTCGTTGCCACAAAATCATACCATTGTTACCATTCTCCATTGAACCGTGAGAGACCCGTTAGGGGAGACAGGTTTCAAGTAATGGTTAAATACAAACATTTGATTGCAATTTTGGTCCCCATAAATGAAAAGACCAAATCCACAGCTCAAACACCAAATAAAGAGGTTTTTTTGCTAACAAACTTTTTTTTTGACCTTATCTAAAGTAATCGGCAAACCACATGGACCATTTCTGCAATTTTGTCTAAAAGAATTAATAGCAAAGCTATTAAAGTAACAGAAGAAGGACAAAAACCACAATAAAACTTATTAAAAAGGATCAAATCTGTAACTTTTTAAATGTTTGAACCTTAGCCACATAGAATGAGAAACCATAGGGACAAATTTTGCGATTTTGTCTTTTTTTTTTTTTAATAATTTTAATTTTAATTTTTGTTTTTGAATTGGAATCGAGTTGGGTTTAGGGTTGAGGGTTTCAATTATCATTTTTTTCCAAAATTGCAAGATACACTATAGATGAGGAGTCTTAATGTGGCGTTTCGTTCGCAGAATGTTTTTGAAGGAATTGAAATTTGTTAAGGAATTAAAATTTGTCAGGAATTCTAATCCAATTCCATATTGTGTTTGGTTTCTAGGAATGAAATTTGAATACAATTCCATATTATGTTTAGTTGGCAGAAAATGATATTAAAACAATATAAAATGACAAAATTGTTATTTTTTTTGCTTATTTTTACTTTGTTTTATAACTTATATGTAAAAATATATTATATAGATTATAAAAATAATAAATGATGGTGATAGTGGGAGTGATACTAATGGTGGCAGTAGTGGTGTTGATGGCGACATAAGTGATGTGGGGTAGTGGCGGAGGTGATAACAATGGTGGCAGTAGTAATTATGATAGTGATGGTGACGGTGACGATGATGAATAGTAGTGGAGGTGGTGGGTGGTGTAGTAGTGGAGGTAGCAATGGTGGTATTAACGGTGGTGGTGATGAGGAGGTGGCAAAGGTGTTAGTGGTGGTAGTGGTGGTGGAGGTGATGCCGGTGGTGGTGGCAGTGATGACACGGTCGTGGTGATGAGTGGTGCTGGAGGAGGAGGTTGGTGTGGTGATAGAGGTGGCAAGTGATGGTGACGGTAGTGGTGGTGGGTGGTGGCGGATGTGATGGTAGCAAGTGGTGACAACGTTGCTGTGTGGTGGTGGAGACAGTGGTGATGAGTGGTGGTGGAGGTGAAGGTTCTAGTGGGTGGATGGTGGTAGTAGCGGAGGTGGTGATAGAGGGTGGCGGTGGAGGTGGAGCTGGTGGTGTGTAGCGGTGGTGGTGGGTGTTGAATAATGGTGGAGGTGGCGATGGTGATGGCGACAAATGAATTTCATATGTAGTGTTAAAACTAAAATGGGTAATATATCAACATTTAATATTCTTACTTGAAGGGAATTTTAATTCCTTAATTTTTTGGATGAAATTCATTTTCTCTTATTGAATGGAAAATTTGACTTGGAGAAAACTTAAGCAAAAGAAAAGTGAAAGCCATCGAATTAGGTGCTGTTTGTTTTTTCGAAGCGAAAATTCGGGAAGTCTACGGACCACCTCTGCAATCCTCTGTAGTAGAAGAGGTGGAACAAACGGCTGCAACCCATAATAAGAAGCATGCTTGTTTTTTTAACATCTGCAGTAAACTGAAATTTAAATAAATTAATTTTATAAACTGAAAATAGTTTTCAACACCGAAATTTAAATAATTCTAGTCTTAAAACATTGAAAGAGTCCTAAAAAGAAACATGTAGAAAAACAAAAATGTAAAACTTAAAAAAAAACTTACAAAAATATAAAAGAATCTAACAACTTTATTCTAGAAAAAAAACTAATTTTAAAAAACATAAAAAAGAATATAATAAAAAATTTTAAGAAATAATTGCAAATGATATCTATAAAGTTCGTAAAAAACTACACATGTTAAAAAAGATGAAATTGAAACTTAAAATATTATTAACAGAAACGGTAAAAAAATTTAAAAAATTAAAGTTTTTTTTTTTAAAAAAAAAAAAATCAAGTTCAAAAAATTTATGGAAACTATAATAAGAAGTTGTATCAAATCCATAAATAAAAGTTTTAATAAATTTAAGTTAAAAGAAAAAATAAAAGTAAAAAGAAATAAGTTGTACTAAAATTCTAAAAAAAAACAAATAAAAAAATGAAAATTGAAAAGGTTTGAAGATATAAGTGTTGTACCAGTACCATGGTTTGGGGAGGGTTTTTTAAAAAAATAAACAAAACCTTAAATTCCATTTCCTGAAAGTTAGAACCAAACCAAAGAAGTAAAGTGATGGAAACAAAGGAAAGTGATAATCAATTCCTTTCAAACACCCCTCCTTGATTTCTTACCTTTCACTCTGCTCAATTTCCCCTGAAAATCCTACGAAACACGACCGGAATCCGTATGCAAAGCAACCTATAAATATACAAATGTGTGCGCGTGTTAGTTGATTAGTAGAATCAATCTGATAAAGGGGAAAAGACAGGAGAGATAAGGAATGGGGGTTTCCATTCTTGTTAGAAATCCAGCTACTGCAACACTACTTGGCGGCGTTGTCTTCCTGTTACTGCAAGGTGCTGTTGTTCTAAGTGGGTTTCCGGCGACTCTCATTCTGGAGAGAGTTTTTCCGGTGAATCGTCGAATTGAGTTGAGTCAACTTAGAAAAAGGGACAGTCTAAGGCACCGCACAATATTACAGCAGCAGTCTTCCACCGAAGGTGTTATTGTTTTACCTGTAGAAGGCAGTTACGATCCTCTTTTTTCAGGGTACTCCAACTTCCTTGATTTTTATTTAAATTACAGACAAACCATTATTATTTGCTTAACCTGAAATTCCTGCTTGTGGTTTTCAAATTGTTTTTACTTTTCATACATGTTGTCTCTTAAAGTAAAATAACTTCGTACTTCGTTATGATTGTGAATTAATCGCGACCCATTAATTATACATTGTAATTTGGTTATGTTTTAGGCTTTATTATACAAAAGTTCGTTTGGGCTCTCCTCTAAAGGAATATTATGTACAAATAGACACTGGAAGTGATGTTTTATGGGTGGATTGCACCCCATGCAAACGATGCCCAACATCAAGCGGACTCCCAGTATGCTTATAATTTGTCTTTGTAATAAAAAGGATAAATTTTGGGAATTAATGAACTAATATCAATACTACGTATGGTTTTTTCCTTGAACAGATTCCTATTACATTCTATGACCCTTCAACCTCATCGACATCTTCTCCCATCTCATGTTCAGACGAAAGATGTTGGCAATTCGGTCAATATTTCGATAGCAGCTGTTCCAATCATAAGTGCAGTTACACATTGAAGTATGAAGGTGGTAGTGCAACATCAGGTTATTATGTTTCGACTTAATACATTTAGACAATATCACTGGTACAAAAGAAATATCATAAGTGCAGTTACACATTGAAGTAAGAAGTATGAAGGTGGTAGTTCTCATTTTAAAATTTTGAGAAGAGAAATGCTTATTTGTTATGATATATGTTTTTTCATTAATTACCAAGAAACTTTTACTGTTATTTCAGTGTTTCCAACGTATTTCCCAATGTAAGCTTGAAATTTGCTGGTGGAGCTATTATGAATTTAAGACCACAAGACTACCTTCTTCAGCAAAAAATGGTATGTTACATACGTTAGCTAGGTTTTACTTTTACTTTGTTTGAAATAACACCAAAAATGCACTATCATTGACTTGAAAAATACTGCGCATTTTTTGTTAACTTGCGTATTGGAACAAAATAGGATGCGGATGAGGTGTGGTGCCTTGGCATTAAAAGGAATAACTACAAGGATCAAAGACTTAATATTTTAGGAGGTATAATTATAATTAGACACCAAAATCTCACATTTATGACATTTTTTTTCGTTTATTTTTTTTACTTGGTGATGCAGACATTGTTCTTAAAGACAAGATATTTGTCTATGATTTGGGTGGTCAACGAATTGGATGGGCAGAGCGTAACTGTGAGTTTCTATACTATAAACAGTGAATAACTTGTATGAAAAAAAGAAAAGAATATAAGAAATAATGTTGTTGTTCATCATGATTTTAGGTTCTTCAATTGTATACGTCTCCACCTCAAGTGGCAGCAGCAGTCCGTTGCAGATAACCAGTTATGAAGTTGTTCCAGCACTCGTTCTTGCTTTCATAGTACACTTGACGGTTGTTAGGTGGTAATTTGATGTAAATGCAGTAGATATAGTTTATATATATGTTTTACTTGTAAATATAAAGAAATTAATACAAGCTTGACTTTGCTTCTCAGCTTGCGTTAAAAATTTTGAATTACTTTAATATACTAAAAATCTATCATGTTTACATGACATTGTTAGTGTTAGCGTATAGGTATAGGCCCACATATTTCACCAACATAAAATCACACATCCCTTTGATCCTCGATCTTGAGCGGCTCAACTACGACACCTCTTCTCCACCTTTTCTGAGGCATATGATGCCATTGACCACATAAACACACTTATGATGCACCGAATACAACCACTGAACGGAAAAATTGAGTTGTGCAAATGTGGATTTTTTTTTTTTTTTTTTTTTTTTCCATCACTAGCCCAACAAGGAAAAGGAAGCAAGGCCCAAGAGGGAAAGAAGGAAACCAGTTCGATTCTTGGAGGAGTCCAATAGCCCATCAATTCTCCATGTGCAAGAAAGGACCTAGTCTTAATTCCAATAGTCAAAGTAGTTGCATTTCTTTAGGAGTTCACGTTTTCATTTACAATATGCATGTTTCCTTATTGTTAGTTTCGATTATGTTTTTGTTCTTTTAAATTGTAAGTCAGGAGTTTGGAAATAAACAAAGAAAATTGTCCCATTTTATTGTCTTCTTCTCTAAAGCTTCTTGAGAGAATAGCCATCTCTAATCGGTTACTATCAATTGGTGCTTTCATCTCGTTTTCATGCCTTCCAAAGTTGAATCCAGCTCCGCCACCTTTGACAACTCCGCCACCGCCATCCATGATCAATTACAAATCCTCATCTACCTTACAACCTCCACTGCCACCACACTCGACAAGCTTGTCAACATCTTAGCCACCAAAGAAAAATCGCCTCCGACTCTGCCTTGACCACCGACACCACCAACCCTGACCACCAATAATCCTGTTACCCAACTTTGACCGTACTGATCCCTGGGATTGGTTGTTCCAGGCTGACAACTATTTCCAATATCGTGTTATTCCGTCGGCTCAACGTCTTTCATTGTTAGTTTTCCATTTTAAGGGTGGCGCCTTAAGGTGGTACAAGTACTTGGCAACCAACAACTTTCTAGGTACATGGCAAGAATTCTCCCGAGCATTGCAGCTTCGCTTCAGACCCTCAACCTAAAAGAACCACCATGCAACCCTCTTCATACTCAAGCAAATTACCACATTGGCGGCTTACCAAACCGACTTTGAGAAGATCAACAATTATGTCACCGGTTTGGGACCTGATGCATTGCTGAATTATTTTCTCTCTGGTCTCCATGCAGACGTACAAAATGAACTTGCTCTCCTTCACCTGACTTCTCTTCATCCAACGTATGGTCTGGCCAAGCTAGTGGAAGACGAAATCACCTTATTAAAACTCAAATATTCATATGCACGTTCTTACTCTACTACCACATACCAAAACCTAAACTAACCAACCAGCAACACAGTCAAGCAACACAGTCAATAAATCATGCTTATATCTCTCTTTATGATCCAATTTTGTAATGACCCGTCTCTGGTATGTTGCTTTATAGTATTTATTTTAGAAGTTTGTAGGGGGACTTGACGAGTCTATGTCCCAACTCGTCGAGTAGGGTCGTGATCGTGATCAGCTTATGGGTTGGCGACTCGGCGAGTCCATATTCGGGACTCGGCGAGTCGGCCTGCCAGGTAGAAACCCTAAATCCCTGGGTTTGTACCCTATTTAAACCATCTTATGAGCCCCCAAACTCGTCTCCTTCACCCTAAAAGCACCATTTAGCAAACCCTAATCATTCCATTGAGTATTTGAGCATTCTTTGTGTAATCTTAAAGTTTTGAAGAGAAGGAGAAGGCTAGATCCAAAGAAGAAGAAGAATATCCAAGTCTTTGCACCCATTTCAGAGTATTTTGAGGTAATAATCGGTTTCTTCCTGTGTTGATGATTGATTCTCCTTTATAAGCATGTTTAGCACATTCTTTAGCTTGTTCTTAGTGGAGAAATCATATTTGATGGATTAGCTTTCGAATCTAGCCATGTTTCAGTTCCAAAAACGTAGATCTATCAACTTTATGGAGCCATTTTGCATGATAGCCCTAGATCTACCCTTCCAAGTGCCTTTTTAGCCTTTATATCCTTTTGTATGCATTTGTACACGTAAAGTTAGGAACTTTACGTGGTAAACCAGCCTTAGGAACTCAGATCTATGTATTGTATGCAGTGGTTTTGAGTAGAATCGAGTTTTTAGTGATTGCATGCATGGGACTCAGGGAGTCGTTCTTTGGACTCGGCGAGTCGAGTCGCGAGTCCCCGATTCTCCCCCTTTGAGTGATTCCGAGTGGGGACCAGTGAGTAGTGGAATGGACTCAGTGAGTTAGAGGTTAGACTCAGTAATGGAAGGACTCGACGAGTTGTTCATACAACTCGGCGAGTCCAAGGCAATCTTCTTATGATTCAAGAACAACTCGTCGAGTTGTTCATACGACTCGGCGAGTCGGATGCAGATGACCTGAGTGTTGGAATAGATTGGGAACTCGTCGAGTATATGCAATACTCGACGAGTAGCAGCGGGCAGAGTTGATAAATGAGAGTAGAGACTCGGCGAGTTGGCGGCCCAACTCGGCGAGTCAGGTCAACTGAAAGTTGACTTTGACCAGGAGAGTTGACTTTAGCCAGGGGTAAAAGAGTCATTTTACCCTAATACAGTTATTAGTATTTGATTGAGTATATTTGGGGAATTGTAGCCGGGGAGATACCGAAGCAACAACAGATAGTTTCCAGAGACACACACTCAGCAGCCAGATCACGAGGTGAGTTTCCTTTCAGTAGGAACGGGTCTAAGGCCACAATGCCGACCCGTTTAGCTAGTAGTAGTTTCCGGACTTCGGTCCGACGCAGATTCTAGTATGTTTGATGCCTTCGTGGCTCAGACAGGATTTTGTGTTATGTGTTCCGGGTTACAGCCCGATGTAGTATGCTATTTATGTGCCCATGTTAGTTTATATGCTTATGTTATGCTATGTTCAGTAGTTCCGGACTTCTGTCCGATGCAGTCAGTTCCGGACTTCAGTCCGATGCAGTTAGTTCCAGACTTTGGTCCGATGCAGGAGGCAAGGCCTCAGTAGTTCCGGATTTCGATCCGATGCAGAGGGCAAGGCCCTGCTTAGTTTCGGAATTTGGTTCGATGCAGTGGGCAATGCCCAGTATGTGTTTATATGTATTGTATGGTATGTGGTAGTTTGGGGGAGCTCACTAAGCTTCGTGCTTACAGTTTCAGTTTTGGTTTCAGGTACTTCCGCAAGAAAAGGGAAGAGCTCGAGTTGATGGCATCACACACACACCACAACTTCAGTTGTCCTGGGAGTTGTTTTTAGTTTTCATAGATGGGATTTGATACAGTTTACTCATAACACTTTACTATTGTTTTGAGATATTGACGTACGAGTTTTTACCTTATGATTTTATCATGGTGTTTTTAGTGATTATTAAACAAAAATTTTTGGGTCGTATTTTGGGATGTTTCTAGTTGGTATCAAAGCCTTGGTTTGAGGGATTCGGATATACTTTCGGGTGTGTCTGAACTGAAACTAAGGAAATGGTAAAGATTTTCAAAGGAAAAATGTTTTTGAAAAAGAACTTAGGAAAACAAGAGATTTGATAAAAAGGAAATTGGTGTGGCGTATGCGATCAACCGAGCTCAAGTAAGTACTCCCACATTACCCATACATGTTACTTTATGTTTATCAATTTTAGTTTCAGTAGAACAACATGCTAGAATAGGACTAATGATCTAGGAGGATGCCTTATGTGCCTGCTTTATGTGTTTCAGCTTTACGAGATCTACATGCTAGTATTGAAGTAGACAGTAGTAGGATAGCCTGCTAGGTTATGCCTAATAGTATGAGCTTAGCATTGTATGCTAGAACAGTATTTCGTTATGAGAATATATTTGCTTGAGTAATTTCCTGTATCCGAATGCTGCTTGCTTCGTGCTTTGTGGGACTCTGAGTGACGGGAGTTAGTCATTAGGTGAATACGGCACATCACATGTGACAAGGGTTGAATAATCTCAGAGTGTTGGATTTGGCTCTATTGCACAGCTCTTGTTTGAGTCTAACCGTGGTAGGGACGAGTCCTTTATTCGAAGGATTATCTGAGCCTCATCACATGTGATGGTATTCAGGTGATGACTAATTATTGACACAAGGTGGCCTTCAGCAGCTGAAGACTGTTTTGAATAGAGTCAGAGATTTCCCTAGGGCAAGCCTAGGATGAGAGTAGCAGAGATCAGTAGTAGTAGAAGTGACTTGGTGGAGTCAAGGCAGTTCTTGAGGAAAGTACGGATAGATGTGGAAGGTAGTATGGGCCCGTACTACTGAAAGCAGAGGATCCGTACTCGAATCAAGCAAGGCCGAGACAAGACCAGGAAACTAGTATTGGTATCAGTGATCCCTTGAGATATTTCAGTTTTATGATGTTGCTATGATTTGTTTCAGAATGATAGTTTTGCGTTCGAGGCCAGCAGTCGGTAGTTCAGATGCCGAAGGGGGATCAGGATCAGGAATAGGCGCGGAGGCCGGGCAGTTGGATGAGCAGACCAGAGAGTTTCTTTCTTCTGAGGTTACCCGCATCATACTGGAGCAAACTCCTATGATCTTCGGTTCGATCAAGGAGGGTATTCTAGAGCTGATGGATGAGAGATTGGGCACCTTCCGTGCCGAGATGGCGGCCATGATGGGGTTGCACACACTTACTGTCAGGGAGTTCAGGGCATATGGGGCTCCAGACTACCATGGGGCGCGGGACCCCATAGCGAGTACTAGATGGTTGGCGGATGTGGCCAACGCTTTCCGCACGAGCAGGTGTCCCGAGGGGGACAAGGTTAGATTGGCGTCCTGTCTCCTGAAGGACAGGGCACGGGATTGGTGGGAGGAGGTCGGTCATACTATTGGAGATGATGCAGCGTTAGATGCCATGACCCGGACTGATTTCTCCACCAGGTTCAAGGCGGAGTTTGCACCGGTTATCAAGGTGCAGCAGTTAGCCAGGGAGTTTCAGGACCTCACCCAGACTATAGAGACAGTGGCGGAGATCACCGCCAAGTTCAGGGAGAGGGCTCTTCTCGTTCCTCAATATGCAGCTGATGAGGAAATGAAGAAGGCCCGTTATCATGAGATGTTGCGGAGCGATATCCGCCAGTTTGTGAGCCGGTCCAGCTGTAAAACGCTGGATGACATGATTGCTAGGGCTCGGGAGAGGGAGATTGACCTTAAGATGGAGAAGAAGAGGAAACCGGAGGCGGTTCCGGGTACAGGCAGTTCGGGTAAAAAGCCCAAGGTTTCAGATCACAGATCTAGGAGTCAGCAGAGCCACGGTCGATGTGGCAAGTGTGGGAGATTGCACGACGGGGTGTGCAAGGTAGGGAGTTTTGGTTGCTACAAGTGCGGTCGGACTGGGCATTTGAGTAAGGATTGTACGACTCCTGCTACCGCTATTGCAGCATCAGATTTGATTTGCTTTCAGTGCAATCAGAGGGGACATAAAAAGTCCCAGTGTCCGAGTTTAGCTGCAGCGGGGAAGGTGGTTGCACTTGCCCCTACTACTTTGAGGATTACAGATGGCCGGCAGGGCCGAGCAGAGGCACCAGTGGTAAGGAGTCGAGCTTTTCAGATGACAGCAGAGGAGGCGCGAGCGACTCCTGATGTGGTGATGGGTATGTATTTTTCCCTTCATCTCTTTATTATTATTGAAAATTGCTTATGGTTATATGTTTTGTATAGGGTCGTTCTCTGTGAACGACATCTCTGCTACAATATTATTTGATTCGAGGGCTACCCGATCGTTTGTATCGCTAGCGCTTA